GCACTTGGGAGGCAGAGGCAGGCGAATCTCTGTGAGTTCAAGGCCAGCCTGGTCTACATAGTGAGTTCCAGGCCAGCTGGGGCTACAGGGAGACCCTGTCTCAACAAAAAGAAGAAAAAAAAGAAAAAGATTGAATTGAGGACACAAGACTTTCAGTTTAGAACTAGTTTAGTCATCAAAGGTCCTTACTGCAGTGTTTAAAAGGGTCCTGTGGCCTTCTACCCGCTCTTCAAGGTAGCTTTCATCAGTATCAGAAGTGACACAAATGACTGGGGGGCACTGTAAGTGCACATTTGACTGTGTAGTGACACCATGTGGCCAACTGAGGAATAACAAGCTAAGTTAGCATATGGGCAGTTAGAAAAACATTCATGGAGCAAGGCTAAAGGCAGTACGTGGTGTCTTTTTGTTTTGTTCTGTTTGAGGCAGGGCTTTACTATGTAGCCGAGGCTGGCCTCAATTCACAATCCTACTTTAACCTCCCAAGAGCTGGGATTACAAGTGTGTGCCACTAAGCCTAGTGAGTACTTTCGTCTGTTTAGATTTCAGAGAATTCAAAGGAACCTTCCACAGACCAGGCTTTGTTCTACCATTTATTTATTATGTGTACTACATGTGGTGTATGTATGTGTTCCCATGTGTGTGTGAGCATGAATGTGCATGTACACATATGTAGTGATCAAAGGTCAACAATGGATGTCTTCGTTTATTGCTTTCCACCTTATTTTTTGTGACGTCTCTCGCTGAACCTGGAGCTCACTGATTTGGCTAGCCTGGCTGGCCAGCCGGCCTCAGGGGCTTTCCTGTCCCTGTTCCCCAAATACTGGGATTGCAGGTGTGTGTTGCTGCACTTGGCTTTTCTTACTTTTTTTTATATTTTATGTGCAGAAGTGTTTTGCCTGCATGTATGTTTAAGTGCACCCATGTGTCGTGCAATGCCCACAGAGGTCAGAATAGGGTGCTGGATCCCTGGAATTGGAGTTAGGATGGTTGTTAGTCAGCATGTGGGTGCTGGGAACTGAACCCTGGTCCTTTGCAAGAGCAACTGGTGCTCTTAACTGCTGAGCCATCTCTTCAGGCACCCCTACCTTTTTGTAAACAAGACTTCTGGGTATCCAAACTCAGGCCCTCATGCTTGTACAGCAAACATTACTGACTGACCCATGTCTCCAGCTCCTTAATCTATCTGTTACTATTTAATTTGTGTGTGTGTGTGTGTGTGTGTGTGTATGTCTGTGTGTGTGTATACATGCCATGCCTCATGTGTAGAAGTTAGAGGCCCAACTTTTGGGAGTGGTTCTCGCCTTCTACCTTGCTAAGGTCTCTTGCTGGTTTTGCTGTACACTGCCTACTCTGGGCTAGCTGATGCAACAGCTTTTGGACAATTCTGCTGCATCTACCTCATATCTCACCACAGGCGAGCTGGGCTTACAGATGTGCGCCACTGCATCTGAGTTTTTCTGTGGGTTCTGGGGGATTGAACTCAGGTCAGCATGCTTGTGTGACTAGGGCTTTTGCCCACTAAACCGTCTCCCTAG